AGGGGGGGGGAGGCAGAGAGAGCAAATGCATGGGGAAGAGAGAAATGGATGGATGGATAGACAGATATATAGATGGATAGTTTTGTTCCATGCTTGTGTCCAAATTAACAGCAATGCAAAAAAATGTCTCACTGGATTGAAAGTTTAAAAGATATAGGCATAGCTTACAAAAACAAGACAGTAGTGCTTGTGTAACTTAATGTTATTATAACGACGCCGTTACCTCTTTTTATGTTTGACGTAGTCATCAGGTTTGCTCCTCTGTCCACAAAGTTGTTGAAATCTTTGACCATGATGTGTTTCATAAGTCCCGAGTCACACGTAGATAGTCTGGGACACCGTCGCTCTAAGTTGTAACTTGCCACGTTCTTCCCGTAACGTTGGAAATAGTCTGCAACAGAAGGGTTTTTGTTTGTTTGTTTGGGTAAACAGACACACATCGACACAATGATTATCATTTAGAGCTGGGAAAACGTAAGACTGACAGACAGAAATAACAGAAGGAAAGTAAAGAAGTAGGGCCTACAAGTGGTGCCCTCCAACCACCCTCTAACAGAAGGGCAAGTCTGTTGTTTCTTCTTTGTCTGAGTAAAGGTTAAACAGGTCGACATAATAATTGTCAGCAGGTGCACACTGCGATTATATGGATGAAAAACATGGACAATTGATGAATAAGATTTTTTTTTAATTACATCTTTTAAAATGAAACTTTAAGAATATCTTTGAGACTAAATGTAAAGAATCAAGAAGTAAAAGAAGAATAAGTACAAAAACGCCAACACTCACCTAGAACGTAATGAAACTAGAACTGAAATTCTTAGGGATTATCAAACGCCACGTTTTAATCGAGAAACATATTATTCTGATATCAAAGGTAGAAGGCAAGGGAGGAAAGGAAGAAGGTGTGATCTCACAGGAGATGGGAACACGACATCGAAACCTGGTCTGGAACACCGCGGAGAGGTAGAATGGCAAGGGGCATTACATCGTGAATCTACTAGAGACGCTAAAAGGAAGAAGGAAAAAAGGTTCTGGGAGGAAAATCGAGCTAGAAAGACAGGAACAGCAGAGGAAAATAAAACCAGAAGTGCAATGTAAGCAACCTTCACTTGGATATTACGTTTGATGTCCTTACTTTAGTTTGTGGTACAAACCTTAAGTGGGGGGCTCTCGTGGCCTAGAGGTTAAGGTGTTGGCCTCTCATTCAAAGGTCCAGGGTTCGAATCCAGATAGCGACCGAAAAATTTTCTTCTCTAAAATTGTCTCCTTTCACCTCCTTTCCTGCTCTCCAGCTATATTCTGTCGTCTGCTTTCGTCTCCTCTTTCTGCCCCCACCACCTCACCTCCTTTGCCCCCTCCTCTGGGCTCCTGACTCTTTCTGCAGCCTTTCTACTGCTACTCCTTGACTCCTCCTTATAGCTGTCTTTCTGTCACACTCCTGATCTTCCGGTAGGAAAGATCTACACCTAGCCTTCTCGGACAAGGGCGAAAAATCTCGGAGGGCCCGTGTGCAAGTTGCGCACGTTAAAGATCCCTCGGTGGTCTAAAATCGATGAGAGTAGGCTTCGGCCGCAACCCGGGCAAAATTCAAAATTTCCTACCAACTAAAAGTATTAGGTGTGTCCCGCGCGCTCATATGACCTTATGCAGTTGCGAGCGCCGTAAAACACTTACGAAAAAAAAAAGCCTTAAGTTCCTTTGCAATAAAAACTAGCACTTTTCTTTTATTTCCTTGACCCGAAGCACCAGCAATAGTCACCAAATCGCCCCCCCCCCCCTTTTTTTTCCCCCATTTAAAAAAAAATTATAATATATATAAGTAAATAAAAACAGAAAAACAAAAGATAACAGCAAACACAGTCAACAAAAAACAAAATCAAAAACGAAAAAAAATCACTGACAAAACATTACCAATGTCATTCTGATCTGTCGATAGCAGCCATCCGCCCAGCCCCCTTTCACAATCCGGTATCATTATCGTCTTACGGAGTGAGGTAAAGATATTTGTCAGTCAACGCTTCCTCTTTCTCTCGACCCCTAGTTGGGTTCACTCGATCCGTAGTTGAACCCACTGGACCCCTTGTTAAAGTCACTCGACCACTAGTTGAACTCACCGTCAAGTCTCTTTAGCCAGGTCTTCCCCTTGGACTGGCGACTGTAGCCAAAAAAGAACTCATACTTTGGCCCAGGCACTCCCAGGCCGTCCCAGGCACCGAAGAAAGATCGTAGATAGTAGTAATAAACACAGGATAAGAGGAGAATAATGGTGGACAAGAGGCAGGCTGTGCTTGACAGCTCTCCGATTAGTGGCAGTTCCATGATGGCTGAAACACGAGAACGTTTAATTAGTTTTTATATGTTTATTGTGTTACATGTACCGAATGCTGAAACATATTGAAATAACAAACCGATTTCGGTATGTTTAAGGTTTACCTCTTTCTGAGTCAGTCCAATATATATTGTCATTCTTGCATTTTATAATAATCATAGCCTGTATAAAATTGTTAAAACATAATTCATCTTACAGCAGAGATTAGATAAGACTTGAAATAGGAATTAATTAAACTATGTAAAACGATCCCTCACTTTCATGGTAGTTACACTACCAACTGTACAATTTACTAGCGATTGCCTGTGTAACAATGTGTTCCTTATTGCTGTCAATTCTGCCTTGTAAAGGTGTGGATAAATAGTATAAGCTTATATGAATATTATATATATGTATATATCTATCTATATATATATATATATATATATATATATATATATATATATATATACAGAGAGAGAGAGAGAGAGAGAGAGGGAGAGAGAGAGAGAGAGAGAAAGAGAGAGAGAAATAAGTATGACATGTGTGATTTGTGTGACTTATGAGACTTCTCATGCATGAGCTGACGAAAGAAAACATAAACCGGAAGTACTACGTGGGCAAAGTGTTGGTTTTGATATCTCATGGTGTATGTTGTAATCAAAGCTTCCTACACACAAAATTTCCTATGAATCAGATACACAATGTGTAAACACACCTTACACACAATAAAATCTTGTGCTTTTTAACGGTTGGATCATTTTCTCCCTGTTTTCAAACTAACAAAACTGACAAATGCAGAAAATAAACGCTCTGTGTGTTTCCTTAATTCTTCAATGCGCTTTCTGCTTATGTAAGACACGTAAATGTGTGCAGAAGAACCATCTGACGCTTAGAACTGTCTAAGACAAGCCTAGACGTGGCCTACCTTGGGGGACAACTCGACGTCAGAATTGGGTTATAGTCAACACCCAAATTCGAAACCCATTCCAACTAAATGTAGAGACTGCCAAGTACTTCGGACTGTCTTAAAACACCATTATTAGACATTTACGTGATCACGGATTACGTGATTATCACCCTTTGCGTGGAGCCGTTCTAACCCTGTTTCATTGAAGAAATCGCTAAAATTTGGGCACAACTACATTGGCGATTGAACCAAAGACTTTGTTAACGAGTTCTATTCAGCAATTGTTCAGGTTTTTTGTACGTCGCATTGATGGAATAGAAAATGTGTTACAAAGAAGAGGGTAGAGATTGCATACAGCCAACGTCGTCATAGTGGACCGATCAGGTGCCTGAAATGTTGCAGTGCGGGGTGGAATCGCTGCTCTTTATCGTACATATTTGGTTACTTTTCAAAGTAATTTCAAAGAACGATTACCCTACATGACACGGATAATGGGACTTGCTAACAAGACAACTCCCGATCCCATGCGCCTTGACCTGTCAAAACTCCTTCCAAACTCATCAAATTACTCTTGGGGATTGGCCTGCAAGATCAACAAGCCTGAACCCAACAGAACATCTGTAAGATGACCTTGACTGGAGCATTAGAAACAGGCCGCACTCCGTTGAAACTCGTCAGGAACTGAAGACAGCACTTCACAAGGAATTGAAGGGGATTCCTCTGACAACCGTAAAGACGTTTATTCAGTCAATGAATAGACGCTTAGTATCAGTAAATCAAGTTGAAAGAGGCCTCACACAATACTGAGCAAGCTTTGATTTGGATTTTACAAAGGTCAGTGTGAAAGAAATTATCTCCCTTGAGTAAGGAAAGACATTAGTCAATTCTTTTTATAATAATATCATGTTGACAGAAAATTAATAAAGATCGCGTGTACGAAATTTCTTTTGGCTATGTTGAATAGTAAACGAGTTGTTGTACCTTTAAGGTGGATGTGACAGGACTTTTGCAACACGATAATATATATATATATATATATATATATATATATATATATATATATATATATATATATATATATATATATATATATATATATATATATATGTGTGTGTGTGTGTGTATGTGTTTGTGTGTGTATGTGTGTGTATGTGGGTGTGTGTGTGTGAGTGTGTCTGTGTTTATAAGAACGATCGCGTGTAGTAGTAGTAGTAATCACTGGAGCTGGAGAGCGTTAGGGCGCTCAGGAGATAATCATGAAAACTGTAACACAAGAGTAACTGTTACATCAAGTAAATTTTGAATGTATACCGAATGTTGAAGAGTAATGTAATACATAATAACAATCCGTTTCTTTTATTTTGAACTAATGATATACGTTTACTGTTCTAGTTCACGATTTACCGTCGATCTTGTATTCTAAGAGAAAAGAGTGAAATATAAGCCCATCCAAGTTTAGGAACGTGAATCAGAACTGGCTTCACCAGTGGAAAAAAGATAGATAGATAGATAGATAGATAGATAGATAGATAGATAGATAGATAGATAGATTGATAGATAGATCAATTAACCAATGTAAAATAAAACCTCACCCCTCTGCTTGCTGCACTCCTAATGAACCAGTGTTTGCCTTTTCAGCAATGTGGTCCTTATCGTTGCTCCTCGGTGCTTTTAAAAGTGTCAGCCTTTATATATATATATATATGTAGATTTATACACAGAAAAACATCGAAGTTGCGTTGGTCATAGTCATGGAACTTATCAGAGCTCCTCGGATCTCTCTTGACATGGTTACGGTAAGGCTGATCCAGTTGACTCAAACGTCTAATTTTATTTTTGTGGAGGCGTTACAGTTTTTGCCTTAAATAACTTACTCGTCTTGCTATTTTTTTATTTTTTAAAAGCCGATTCGTTTGTATATTATGTTGTAAATATAGCTTCCTAGTGTGAAACTGAAACTGTCTCCCATCCTTATTTGGATATGGAGCATATTTGGGAGAAGAATCGTATTTCTGCGTTACATTAAATTTTTATCACAGCTGGCGTCTGTAGCCCAAGAAGACCCCGCATTTTCACCCAGACAAACAAGCGTGGAAGATCACAATTCTTTTAGGGTTGGTTTACGTGTTCCGAAATAATACTTCTTGTAAACCAAGACTGCCCAAATTTCTAATCAGCATTGCCATGTAGGAAGGCGTGCCTTCTCTCCATATAAGTTAGCCTAAAAGTTGAAACCGTTTATACTCCCCGCCATCCTACCTCACTAAAATAAACTAGAAATTAGAGATTGAAACGTAAAAACAAAAATCGACGTTCATTCAAAACAGGACCACACCTCCCCCACCACTTTCCTCCTCAATCCCAAACTAACAATAGTACCTCTCCCCACTCCCCCCTCCTAATCAAAAAGCGCACTCCTAGCAGCAAAAGACACCCCCCCCCTTCCCGACGCGCGCGCGCGCACACACACACACACACACACACACACACACACACACACACACACACACACACAACACAGAGAGAAAGACAGAGAGAGAGAAAGACAGAGAGAGAGAGAGAAGAAGAAGAAGAAGAAGAAGAAGAAGAAGAAGAAGAAGAAGAAGAAGAAGAAGAAGAAACCTCTGTCTCCGTCCCACAAAGTGCCCCTGACATGTGACGGACACTGTGGGCACGAATTCACGTAACTACCGAAAACTGCGGCGGTAACAGGAATGTTTCTATGTTAGGCTTATCGTTGATCATGTTTGTCACCCAGTCTTTTAATAGTACACGCTACTTCTTTTTGACCCGTCGCCCACTCAAATAGTCCGCTCGGGTCATTACGTCACATGTGGTAGCGAGAAGAGAATTACATTTACTATTTTTATATACATAATATCGTAAGTTCACAGAAAATGTAAACAAATAACTCATGCTTCGTGGACACAATTTAGATTCAAACAACCTACGTGGCTAGCTGTTTTGGCTGTGCCTGCTAAACAAAGAGAAACTCCGATTGCGCGGGTTATGACGATCTTGTCTCATAGACAATAAGTGTGTATTATGTAAAGTATTTCCCTGCCGTCGGGAGTCCCAGAATCCCTCGTATTTTTCCCCATGTTACGTTTCTTTGTTCGAATGAACTCTTGAGGGCTAAATTGTCTCCCTTTAGTAATAATAAGTATTAAATTCGATTATTCAAACAAACTGAACTTTCTTGATCCCAGGGGGCAAAATGAGGGTTACAATTATGACGAACATACATACATGAATACGTACAAACAGAAATACACGATCTCGTAAAGAAAAACAATTACATGATGTTGCACGAACGCACAAAATAAAAACATGCCGTGGTTGGTCGTTACTGTGCAGCGTCATGTCTTTCTGAGCTAGGATTGTCTTGTCTTGCAAAAGAACACAGCCCATTGACCACCTATCTAAACCCAGTGTCACTGACACTTGCTTGACAAATATTTGTGAATCGGGACTCACTAATCATGGCACCACCAGAGCTCCCAAAACGTTCTTTAAGAGTATTTAATTCAGCAATTTTAATAATAATAATTATAACAACTTATTGGAAAGAAGACCAGGATGTTTATATACTTATTTGGAGCTGCCAAAAGCTATACCCCTAAAAGTAAACTATGATAACTATAATGAATCATGATTAGACATGATGGATGCAAAATAGCAATAACCATGAACATGAACAATTAATGTGAGGCAGCGTGGTGGAATCAGGCTCTTGTCCAAATAATCACAGTGAAGAAACTTACATTTTTCCGCAGGTTTGGGATTTTTTAATCAAATTTTTGTTTTTTAGCTCAACACCTTTCATGCCCATTAAAGAACTCATTTCTGTGTGGATTTTTCTTAAAAACGTTGATTAAAGGCACAACAAATGTAAATTTTCAGCTACCACGAACTCTTAAGCAAAGGAAATAACTAATCTTTGGCGGCCATTCTCTCACTAATTTTACCTCAGAAAACAGGTGACCCCCACCCTTTTCATTCGCAAATATCTCGACTTGTATTCAAGATAAATGGATAGTTTTTTTCATCCAAATAAAGACAAATGAACAAGCTTTAAGGTGATACAAATAACTCTACATG